ATATATATATATATATATCTTGATGCAACCTGAGGACTATGAAACCCAGACATTACTGCTGAGTTACTGCAACATTATTTATTTTTTCCTTCAGGGGTTGCACACGTGTGCAGAAGAGCAGATGGTGGTTTGCAGGCGACCCCTAACAGCGCCCCCCTGCTGATATGACTCAGAAATTACTTAAACACTGTAAAGACTTTTCTTATTCAATTTATTATTATTATTATTAATCATATTTCACTGATTCTTCTCCAAACACAAACCAATTTATTTCCCGGGTCCTGAAGGAGTCCCAGCCTACATGGGGAAGACCAGGAAGGCTGAGAAGGTGCTGAGGCGACTCTGATCTGCTATGGTCTGACTGGCCCAGAGCTTGGCATAGAGTCGGTCCCCCTGCTCCAGAGCCAGGACCATGCCGTTGGAGGCACTGGCCTGGTTTCCTGCTTTATGGTAAATAGCGAACATGTTCTCGTCATTCTTCAGCAGCGCGGCGTTCACATTCCCTGTGCTGCCCACTGCCCCGGTGAGGCGGACGTAGTACAGGCCTTTCACTGGAGCCGTGAAGACGCCTGGAGGACCAGAGAAAATCTGAAGGTATTTGATTTGACTTTTGACTTTTCAGTGAATTGCGAAACAGTAAAGGTGAAGTTTAAAAGTATTTCTGTGACTTTTTATCCTTTAAAACAAGCTGTGACCTCCTCAGATCCCAGGCTTTGTCCTGACCCGAGCAGGTGAGTCATACCTGTCTGTGGGTTGTATCCATTCCCGATGTTAGTCACCACCTTCTCGAACTTCAGAATGTGATCTTGTTCAAACGGGCCCACACTGGTCCACTCAGGACTTTGCACGAGAGCAGCAGAGAACCCCACTCGAGATTTAACTGCAGGAGGTCAGAGGTCAAGTGGTTAAAAACAATTTTCTGTCAGAAACTCTGACAAACATCCATAAACAGACTCACCCAGCTCGTCAATTTTCTGTTCCAGTTTCTCCACCCGGGCCTCCAGCCCCTCCTGCTGGGCCCCAACCAGCCCGCAGACCCCCAACACCACCAGGAACAGACAAGAGACCATGTTGACTTGAGGATTCAGAGACCTGGATTATCAGGGCAGAAGAGTCTGGTTTCTATACCTGTCTGGGTCTGATCTCTGGACCTGATGAGGAAAGGTTCTGTTTGAACGAGTCAAACAAAGTGGTCCTGATGGGTTCAGGCTCATCGATATCTGTTAATGTTTCACAAACAGCTTACCATAATTCCTGCATAGAAACAGTGTTTTAACACTCTTATAAATGCTGAAAAGTACTACGTTTACGACTGAATAAATGTGAAAGTAATAAAACAGAAAGACTAGTAAAAGTAAAAGTAAGAAAGTTTTATTCATTGAGTTGTGGTGAGCAGCTGCTGACTTAAATTCTGAACTCTCCCAGTTTCCTACAGGGAATTCTCATGCATTATCAGCATGCATTATGGGAGATGTAGTTAATGGTCGATGCTGTCTTCAAAGCAGTTTATTTTAAGACATTATCACTGTGCTATCAACTAAATTACTCAGTTATTTAAAACCAACAGTTCAGGGGAAGGACAGGTATTATCTTTTGCCTTTTAAATCTATTTATTTGGTAGATTTTAATCATATATTTAAAGTTGGCATACATATTAAATAAAAAAAATAATAACTAGACATGGGTTTTTACGATGTAAAAACAAGTGTGCATTGCCATGTAGCATGTCATTGCCTGCAGCATTGGACTTGCAAAATGAACTTTGACCAAGTTCAAATGTGTTTTCTTTACAAGCTTGTGCCTGTCACGTCAGCAGGTGCTTGTTATTAAGTTAATTGAGTAACATTATGAAGTTGGAAGAGATTTGTTGTTAAAGTTGCATTAGCTGGGTTTTGAACCCTGATCTCCCACATGAAAGTCCATGACATAGACCATTAGACCAATGGATCTGCGGCAGAAGGTGGTGGCAGGGGTTGGTTTGTATTTGTGCAGAAAGAGGCCACATTGCCAATGCAATTGTTGACACAGACCTACATAATATTACAATAGAGTAAAATTAGGACAACATTTTAGTAAAACATCAAAAGACAATCATATTAGTATTGTAATCACTGAACTACTGAGTTTAAATATTATTAAAACTATGGTTCAGTACTGAGCATATACAGCAAGGGGCAGTATTGGACCAATACAAGGCTCCATTGATTGGCATTATATGATTTTAAACATTAATATTTCAAAAAGTATAAGTTGTACAGCCACCAAATGGCATAGCCATCATTTGGCACAGGAGCTTTACAGATTTAAATTACAATGGCAGCTCTGGGACAAAGTATGCAGGAGGAGAAGCATGGCAAAGTGGAGATGACTTGGATGGGAAATGAATCACAATAGTGCGCATTGCATTGGCAATGCACACTGATAATAATCACCGGCGGGCCACATTTGGCTCACGGGCCTTGAATTTAACTTGCTCGTCTTGCTACCAAAACGTCTTGCCTTGCCATCGTCACGTGACCCATGACCAGAGGTGTCAAGCAACTAAGTACAAATACTTTGTTACTTTACTTAAGTAGAAATTTTGGTTATTTATACTTTAGTGGATTAAAAATTTTTCAGCCTAATTTTTACTTCTACTTCTTACATTTTAATTCAATTATCTGTACTTTCTACTCCTTACTTTTTAAAAATGCAAAAAGTATTTCATTTCTATTTAACTTTGACTTGTTTTTATTCCATCTTTTCATTGTTCAGAAAAAAAATTAACAAATAGAAATCTATCCAGATATGGAGCCCATGGATAGATTGAATTTGATTGTGGTTGACTAAGAAGTGTAAATATATACCATTCTGACATCCTATTGGATTGAAC